GCCTCGGGCATATCCCGTTTCGTTTGTTAAGCAATGTCAATTATCCGCAAGCGCTCATAAATTATTCGGAGACGGTATTCATTACCGTACTCGCGTAGTATCTTTTTATACACATGTAATTAACCGTTCATTATACGCGCTTCGGAATCATTACGCTTGTCTTACGGACAATTATAAAGACACGCGGAGTCGCACGTTACCGTTTTCATCGCACGTAGACAGCTTCGTCGTTCTTTCGTATTTGCATCAACGATTCGTTATATCCGGCGGACCGAGGCCACCTTTTCATCTAAAAAGAAACGCGAACCGATCGAGACGCGCGAATTTCGAGAGAAATTTTACTTGGCGAGCGGGCGAAGGTTGCTTTCGCAACAGCGACCGGTTAATAGCGGAAGCTTTCCGCAGTCGCGGTAATGAGGAGAGGAGGATTCAGACAGCGACACGGCTAAAGCAGCCAAGCACAAAGGCCATAATGGGCACAATGGCGGCGAAACAGAGACGAAAGGTCCAACGAGATGAAGTGGCTCCAACGAGATCCCGATCTCGCAAGCGCCTCCACCTTCCGCTGTCCTGTCGTCCCCACCGCCTCTGCCGCCCCCCCGTAGGATTACCCGAATGTCGGGTAGGGTATCGCCGACGGCATTCATCGCGCAGCATCGTCATACGCCGCGCAACACGGTACGCTCGCCACTATAGAATTGTATCAATGCGACTATCTAACCCTCTCCCTCGCAGCTGGAAATTTAATGAGTCCGCCATTCAGAGGAGACTATGTCGCGACTATGCGGCAGATTTACTATTGATCCCGCTCGTAGCACCGGCCAATAAAATCACAATGTAATATAGTATTCCTATTTCAAAGAGAGAGGAAGAGAGGGAGAGAGAGAGATCGCCGCAAGCGATGAGAATATCGGAGAGTTTTTTTCCAGCGAGAGCTATTTCTGGATATAATGAAATTTACTCTGCATTTTTAAGATCGATAAAAAGCTGGCAAACCTCGAAATGTACGGAACAATGCTTCCGCGTTTGGCCCGGGGCGATTGAACGCCAACTAATTCACTTAGGAGGGCGGGAACATGGACGGTAATGAACGAGAAAAAGCAACGTCCGAACCGACAAACGCGTTACAATTGGCTACGGCCAGCAGATCAACTCGAATTAAGCGCAATTACGCGAGGCGGATGATGTATAGGGTTTAATTGTCCTCAGTTTTGCCCGGCAAACGGATCGAACCACCCTTAAACTCGAGTACCGCCGTCCGTCCGTCGCGCCTCCTTTCAAGGTTGAACGTGTATCAGCTCCGATAAGCTGCACCTGTTACACCGTGTATTATCAAAATCTAATCGGTCCCATAGATCCCGGCTTCTAGTTTGTCCCGCTTCTAGTAGAGACTCCTGATTTCGTATGCGACATACGAGCCTGTGCGCGCGATATATATGGGGGAAAAAAACGGATGGTTTTTCCGATATTTTCCTTTCGGCATTACACACGGATGATATAACGGAGGTATAACGAGAAACTTTAAAGACACGGGAATAAAATATCTCGCGGGGGCCTGGAATATCGACAATATTGACAACGAATCTAAAATAGGAGTAGAACGCGCAATTTTTACAATAGCGTGTAGCATTATACGTCAAGTACTCGACGGTGAGCTTAAACTTACGCGTTCGTATATCGATACTGCACTTTCAAAGTATTGAAATATCTGGCTATAAAAATATAAGCTCGATACTTTCCTCTCGGGGAAAATTTTTCTACCGGAGGAACCACGAGTAACTTTCAATTGCTACTCGACATCATCTAAAATGACACGATTAGCCGCCGCAATCTTTATTTGCCGACATTTCACGCTTTGTATTATGAATTAGTCATTTTTCTATATCACTGATTAGGAATAAAATATAAACTCATGGCAATTCATGAGTTCTTTCTATATTCCTATAATTTTTCTATATTCCTAATTAAGAATAAATATCGTGGCAATTCACGAGTTCTACCCTACTTTCTTACGCAATATCTGTACATTTTACGTTTTATATTAATAATTAATTATAAATCATTTTTCTATATCACTGATTAAGAATAAAATGTAAACTCATGGCAATTCATGAGTTTTGCTCTATTTTCTTGCGTAACATCTGTACATTTTATGTTTTATACATATTATTAATTATTAATCATTATTCTATATCCCTAATTAAGAATAAATTGTGACAATTCACGAGTCGCACCCTACTTTCTTACGCAATGTCCAGACATTTTACGTTCTGAAGAATAAAATATGAAATCGTAGCGATTCACGGGTCCTACCCTTTCTCGCGTGATATCCAAACGACCGTTTGTTTTCCAATCTCGAGAATCTAAGCTTTGTCCCATGAATAGCGGAAAATCGCGATTTCGAAAAACGGGCGTGCACAAAGTCAAAGGAGGGCCGCGTGCAAAGGGAAGCGAGGCGACGACAGAACGAGAAACGCACCGCGGAGAGGGGCGTGTTCGCGGATACTCGAAGAAAGAGGGAGCCGCCAACGTGGGCCAGAGGGAGGAAGGACTCGTAATCGCCACGAAAAATACAGTCGTTCTCGGTCGGGCCGGGCGCAGGGGCGGGTGGGTGGAACAGGTCTTTGTTCGGAGGGGGCGAATTCTGTGGGGGCGCGGAAGGCTCGTGACACGACCAGCTGTTCGAATCCGGGGTCCGTCTGAACGCGCGCGAAGTTTATTGACACACTCCACTACGCCCGCGCGGCTGTTAACCGCCAATACGATTCCGCGCTGAAAATGCTCCGCGGGAAAAAGAGGAAGCGACCTTGAAGCTCGGTCCAGCGGCGTTCGGCCATTGTTTCATTTCAATTCTCTGGGCTGTTCTCTGGACTCGAGCGAGGTGACACGTCGCTTGTCGAATTACAAGATCGTGTACTACATGGCACGGTAACATGAATAAATCAAAATACAAAAGTTCAGCTGTTCGTCGTGAGTTTGTCGGATATACAGGGTGTCACGGATTAGGTGCCCGTCCGCTCGGGTGCAGCTAGAGCGGGTTAAACTGAAAAGGAAAGTTATGTACCATTTTGTAAAATTCGCAATAGCTTTCGAGTGATAAATAAAAACAACTGGGCGAATTGGGACGCTGGAGTGATTCTGCACCTTTGGCACCTTTTGCTCCTAGAACCATCAATTCGTGAAAACGTTTGGCTACCTAACCTGCAACTTATTCGAGTGAATAGATTTTTTGTTAGGCTTCTAAACTTAATTTCAATGATACCACGCTGTTCTCTGATTTAGTCCGATTAGTGGAACACTGTCGGTTCGTACACAAAAGCCACATAATTTGTATATCACATGTTTTCACGAATTGACATTTCTAGGAGCAAAAAGTGCCAAAAGTGCACAATTACTCCAGCATCCCCAGTTCACGGAAACATTTGTGTAATATACAAATTAAATGGCTTACGTGTACAGATCGCGAAAGCAGCTCAATTCCGGTTAAATGAAAGAACAATATGGCATCAATGAAACTAAGTTTGTAAGTCTATTAAAAAGTAATAGTGAACATTACACATATACAGTACATGTAGTACGTGTGTTGCTCATTATTATTTTTTATTAGACTTGCAAACTTGGTTTCAGTGATGCCATATTGTTCTTTTATTTAACCGGAAAGGCAAGCTGCTTTCGATCTGTACACGTAAGCCATTTAATTTGTATATTACATAAATGTTTCCACGAAACAGTTTTAAGTGCAAAAGGTGCAAAAGTGCAGAATCACTCCGGCATCCCCTTAATATCAGCCTACCGCTTTCCTCGCGCTTATTCGCACAGACGTTTTAATTAATTACTCGATAACTATTGGGAATTTTGCAAAATGGCACATGACTTTTCTTTCCAGCGTAACCCCCTCTACGTGTACACCGAGCGGATGGACACCTCATCCGTGACACCCTGTATAGGTGGCGAAACCGCGTCTCTCGCTTTTACATTTAGACATCTCTGAAGATCGGGCTCTTCGCGCGCTCGCAGCTTCGCAAATAAAGGGCGGCCGTGCTCGCCAGCTTGTGAAAACAGCTGGCTCGCGGTCCCGTGGAATAACAAAACGTTCCCGCAAAAAGCGGGAATCCACTTGCCTGCGTAAATATCTCTTAAAGTATCGCAGTCAGAATGAAATCCCGTTGGATCTAATTGCGATTTTCGGAGAAAGTCGGGCGATTTATTCGATCGGGCCGGAGGAAAAGAAAATTCGCTCAGAACCAACACCCCGGCTGATCCACCTACGACTAAATGTCACTTCCCCCGTCTTTTCTCTTTATCGTAGGAAGCCAATTGTTGAATCGCACGACCCTAGCTGTCGGACATAACTCCCGGCTAATCTATTTCCAACTAAATATCGTGTACTCTCCTCTTTCTTGTCGTAGAGGACAATGTTGAATTGTGTGCGCGGAATGGATTGACCCAGGCTATTGGTACACCCGACTGCGGCTGGAACTACGATTAATCGGGAAGGAGCGCGTAATCGCGGGGCGCAGATTAGAGCCAGGATCCGACGGGCCAGGATTATCGGCGCGCCTCGTTCTCGGGCGCGAGCGGAAGCGATCGCGTGGACAAAGAGAGAGAGACAGAGAAACGGTGCAAGAAAGAAAGGAGTTTTCGTAAAAGAGCAATGGTGCCTCTCCTCTCGTTTCTTCGACGCGTCCGTCATCCGTAAAGGCACGTCGGATTCCTCGGGGCAAAACGCGACTCGCGGGAATATCGACGGACATCCCGGGGCGTCCCAGTTCCAACCGGAGAAACGGGAGAGAAAGAGAGAGAGAGAGAGAAAGCGAGATCGGGCGTGCACGATGGGCACGCGGCGCACATATGCTTTTGACATTTCGCATCCGGTAGCGTCGTCGGTTAACGCCACCGATCGTATCGCACGCATCGGACGATAAGTCGGGCGCCGGGTTTGCGATAGCGACAGCGGCGCCGATAAGTCAATTAAAAGGCTCGACGCGCGAGACGCGGGGCGAATTTTCAGAGAGGATCCCCCGGCGAGCCCCGCGGAGAGGAGGCAGGAGAAACGTCGCGCGGTCTCGCACGCTTCTCGCGTACGCGCCCTCTCGCCCCGTCTCTCTCGCACCATCCGCCCGCGCGCTCTCTCTCTCGCTCGCTCGCTCGCTCCCTCTCGCTCGCTCGCCCGCTCAGTCGTCGCCAAACGGGTAGCGGTTATCTTACCTGCGTGCTTCTCCGTCTTCGGCGTGGAGGCCATCGTTGCCCGGTATGTCGTTCGCCGGCGACGTCGATCTCACTATCTCACCACTTCCGCGCACCGCCGCATCGTGTACCACGCACTGGAGGCTGCCGCGGCGTTTTCAGTCTGTTGTAAACCCGACGCGCATCGCTACATCTTCGTTTGTCGGCCATTTTTCGGGCGGGCGGGCGGGCGGGCAGGCGGGTTCGACGCGCGCGGCCGCGCGAGCCGCCATCGGGCGGCGAGGCCGCGAACCTGTCGGCGGGTGTCGCGGGGCTCTACTAATGGCGGACGCGCTGTCAGTCGCGTGACATCTCGCTCCTGCGCTCCGTAACGTGACGCGGACGGCACCCGGGTTGCACGCGGCCGAGACGACGGCGAACGGCCGTCGGGGCGGGCGTGAGCGCGCGCGCGCGCGCGTGGACGAGGCGCGAGAACGGGGACGCGAATGCGTTCGTTTTGCTGTGCGTCGCTCGCGCCTTGCCACCTGCCACCGTGCGCGGCGGCCGGCGGCGATTCCGCGCCACGGAAATCCCTCGTTGTCTCGTCTCGTCGCGACCGGAGGAGAGTGAGCGCGCGCGCGCGCGCGCACGCCGGTACAGCGCCGGGCAAGAGTCGCGCGGGCGGCGGTACAGTCCGCGTGCGGCGAGTCGACCACGCGCGTTCCCCCACCCCTCGCTCCGAGTTCGCGTCACTCCGGCGATCGTCGGGTGTTCGCGCGGGACATTTGAAACCGCGCGGCGCGACTCGCGACTCTCTCGTTTCCCCGCGAGAACGATCGTATGTATATAGATATCTTTGAGGATCGTGTTATGTGTAAAAAGAAACGAAATGAGAGCTCGATAGAAAACGTTAAACGGTCGGTCTCGCGCGCGCTCGCGGTTCTGGCTACGCTTGTACCTGGCGCGAGACACCACCGTGTCTCGTGATGACCGGTTAAGTCGCTCGTGTTCGATTATTGATACTCGTCCGGCGATTCTCGCTCGAGTTTGAAAGAGAAGCCGGTGTCGCGACGGAAGGCGGCACTCGCCGCGATAGAAATTAATTACTTTGACGCTCGTTGATAGGGGGAAAAGGATTATAGGCCGCGTGGACACCGAGACGCCGGTATGGGCAACTCCGCGTTGAAGCGGCACTACGAGACCGCGGAGAAGACCGCGACCCTGAAGCTGTCGCAGTGCAAGCTGGACAAGTTCCCGCGGAAGCTCCACGACCTGGCGCCGACGCTGCGCACCCTGGACCTGTCCGAGAACAGTTTCGTTACGCTGCCGAACGAGATCGGCGAGTTCGCGCAGCTGCGCCAGCTGAACCTGAACCACAACCGGCTGACCGGGCTGCCCGGCACGCTCGGCGCGCTCGAGAAACTCGAGGGCCTCAACTGCGCCATGAACCAGATGAGATCGATCCCGTCGTCGGTGGCGAGACTGAGCCACCTGAAGCAGGTCAATCTGTCCGACAATCAGATCTCCGACTTCCCGCTCATGTTCTGCGGCCTGCGGCACCTGGACGTCCTGGACCTGTCCAAGAATCGGCTCACGATCGTGCCGGACGCCGCCGCCGGCCTCCACGTCATCGAGCTCAATCTCAACCAGAATCAGATCGCCACCATCTCCGAGAAGCTGGCGGAGTGCCCGCGGCTCAAGACGCTGCGACTGGAGGAGAACTGCCTGCAGCTGAGCTCGGTGCCCCACAAGATCCTCAAGGATTCCAAGGTCTCGGTGCTGGCGCTCGAGGGGAATCTCTTCGAGATGAAGCAGTTCGCCGACCTGGACGGTTACGACACCTACATGGAACGCTACACGGCGGTCAAGAAGAAGATGTTCTAAAGAAGGGTTTTACCCGGAGAAAGAGAATACCTGATGTTTGTATACGTACGAAATTATTTCGCGGGTTTGCAGCGAAACTGCCAACGCGACGGATGGACGGCGTTCGAGAGATATTTAATCGTCAGGCACTCTTGCGTCGTCGATTTAGAAGAGTAAACGATCGGCGTACAGATATTTGAGAATATTTTAAAATTTATATAAGATTTACAAGGTCCCTGCAGTTTGGAGAGGTTTTCCTTTCGACATAAGTGTACGGTAAATCGAATTTTTTGTGAGATATAAATTATTACAGCAGCTCCGAGTCTGGACTGTCTGTATCTATAAATAATCGTGATTCGGAAATACACATCGATGTCTTTCTCGATAAACGTTCATGACCAAAGTATTAAATCGCTGATATTTCAAGGATACAACGTGTCTAAATTGTCCTATTTATCGAGATACTATTTTGTTGTCTGGCATAAGTCTGAATATCTATACGCACGAATATACACGCTTTAAAATATTCCAGTATATCGAATGTCTAATAGCGAGTTCGATTGCTTACACTAGTGCGCACTGAGTGCACACTAAGGGCTGTCAAATTTTATATTTAGCTTTGTCTTAAATACACGTTCAAAGAGTATTTAGCCAAAAAGATGATCCGCACGGATGTGGTACAGATCATTTTACTGGCTACAAAATATTTCAAGAGATATTTAAGACGATCCTTAAGGGGATCCTTAAGCCATCTTTTTTACCGACACAGTCAAATATAGTTCTTGCGTTTGTAATTCTTTTTATTAGCTCTTATGCACAAAATGATACCAGGATAAGTTGCGGACCGCGTAGCAGAACATTTTCATACTTAAATAAACTTTTTAAATAATTAAAGTTATGTAGCAATTGTCAAAGTGATAGTTTTAATTTCTCTTCGTTTATTTTTAATATTAAGACTGTTCCTGGTTTTGTCTTTATGCGTACTTTAATCGTGTGGAAAAATTTTGCAATTTTATAAAGCCAATTTCAAATTTAGTTAGAACTACGAATTGAAATTTTCAAATACCAATATCTTTTTTACTAGACTGAATGTTTCAAGTATGAAAACGTTCTGCTATGCGGTCCGCAACTTATCCTGGTATTATTTTGTGCATAAAAGCTAATAGAAAGAATTACAAGCGCAAAAAGTATATTTGACTGTGTCGGTAAAAAAGATGACTGAAGGATTCTCTTAAATATAAGAATTGACTGTAAACAGGCCTTAGTGTGCACTAGTGTAAGCAACCGAATTCGCTGCAAGGCCTATCAAGGCTGGTCTACAATACATGGAGTAAGCCTAAGAGCTGAAGTAGGAGTAAGAAATAAAATGGATTTATTTCCTTACTCCTACTCCTTACTCCAGCTTACTCCAGCTTACTCCATGTATTGTAGACCAGCCTTCACACAATAGAAAAGCACAGAAGATAGGCATAAGGAATAACACAGGCAACAGAAATAATTCGTTGGCAATAGGAGTGCTGTCCAATTATCTGCTTTTTGAAACCACATGCCTGTCCCAGAGTCTCGACTGTGATTAGTCAGGTACAGAGAATAGGGAACAGAAATCCAACGCGTCGGAAATTCTGTTCTTATTGCCTGTTCCTATTGTCTGTGCTTTCCTATCGTGTGATAGGCTTAAAAGAAATGTTTCGTTGTTTAATATATCTTATGTAAGCGCTTATCGATCGGAGTAATAATGATCGTCGAACGATGCATCGCTATCTATAGGCGTTCGATACAAGTATTGAACTTCGTTTAGCATTGTACACAAAATATTTTTCGTTTCAAATAAAGAAATGTTGTTTCTTGTAAAATTATATTTGATCGATATAATCTTCAAATCAGTATAACAATTACATTTTTTTTGCGAAAATGCGTAATTGTTTTGGCAAAACAGCAGCCGGTACTTGTTTCGGGTAAATTTAAATGCCCTTTCTTTGAAAACGTGATTTTTATAGCGCGCAGATAAAGTGAAATGTATTTTCGATTTTGCGGAATTTTTCACAATACGCTGGACACGCATGGGCATTTAAACTGCGACATGAAATTGAGGATCCAAGCTAATCGAAAAAGTATGCGCATTTTAAATTCTGACCATTCCTACCGAGAATAGAAATCAAATAATAATAAATTCGATGGAATATGACATCGAAATAAAAATAGAAATAGAATTAGATTGAAGCGATGCAACGCTGACAAACACAACGGGCTCAACTTTTTTTTTTTTTAACAACTCGAATACACGCCTGCGTTTTCGTAAATCACATCGAAGGCGTTTGCGTCAAAATACATTTCAAGAAACGTGTTTCTCGAACGGATACAGATTTTCCTCTGACGCGTATTGAATCGCGTGATACGACAACTGTTGACTGTTAATAACTGTATAACTTTTTTATACGAACGCAAGCGTACGCCGTGTCGCATTCGCACGATTGTAGAAATAATAAGATCATTGAACCTTCCTACGGTCAACTGCGCATTAACCTTCGGCCGAGCTGACGACCGTAAGAATTCTCGAAGTTACAATTTGCGCAAGGCAAAATGTCTTACCGGTGAGATCCTGCGTTATAATCGACATTTCCATATTTATTTAGCTCGAATATATATCTATTACATTATTTATATCGCTTAACGTGCAATATTATGCGGTTCGCTCACAAGTCCCTTTATTAAAATGTCGCGATCTCGCGACGTGTGCATTCTAACAACGACACCATTGTAGCTTTTTAAGTTTTGATACAATATACAAGCTTTAACGGTCAATCAGGATCATTAAAAATTTCCTTCCTACACGGAGGGAATTTTCTCTCAAAATTTATCCTGAAGATCGCGTGATCGTGAGACATGGCATTTTGAAGGGCTTTATAAAGGCCTGCGTCCATGCTAGAACTTGGTCCAAGTTCTAGTTTCAAGAAATGTGTAGCCAATCAACTTGCTGTTCCATAAAAGCTGCAAGTTGATTGGCTACACACTTTTCGGAATTAGAATTTGGACCAAGTTCATCGTGAACACAGGCCTTAAGAGTTTTTTGAAAGTTTACTAGTAAAATGTATGTAAACTTTCAAATAACTCTCACAAAATTCTCCAAGGTGGCGTGTTGTCCCACGATTACATGATTTTCAGGATAAATTAGGAGTATTTTAAGAGAAAATTCCGCGTATTAACGGACATTTTCAATGTTTAATATTGTATATTGTACATTTGTCCGACTTTTCTGCGAGAAACATTCAAGCGGGCGGCGATAGCAAAAGATGCAAAAAAATATACCAGAAGAAATTAACTCGATTTATTCTGCGTTCATCAATTGCATATTATTTTTCTTTTCCAGCTTTGTCAGCCGGAAGAGACTTGGGTCGTGCATTTTAGAATGTAGATGTGATTTTAATTTAATTTTAGTAACGAACCAGATTTATCTACAATTTATTTTCTATATATTTCAGGAATAACAACGGTAAAAGCGCCTTCGTTACCTACTGCAACATTAAAGCGTCGTAACGAATATCGTAAAAGGTCCTCTTTAAGGCGACGATGTGACACACGGCAAAGCTTCGTTAAAAATTTTGATACCTACATCCTGTACACTCTGTCACCCACTTTTACCGCATTGTCCGATCAGAGATTCACGACGGTTCTTACGTACATTCACCGTGGCCGCGTTTTATGAAATTTTGCCTGCGTCAGAATTAATTCGCGCAGTGGCCGTTTATTGAGCCGGAATTAATTCCTCCCATTTGAATCCACTTTTCCCCTTAATCCTCTAAATTTTCATAATTAATTATATCAAAGAGCATGAAAAGAAGCGCGGTATGCCCGCTCGTTCCCAACTTGGTCGACAAAATTTTGTGAATCGAGGACTCCGTATTTTTAATTTCGTTTAAATCGATAAAATACGTACATCACGAGTTACCAAATGTATATTTATCTCACTTAAGAGCACACGTTTCGACCGTTTCTAGTATTATTATGTATAATTACGATGCATTTGTGCGCGGTTTTATTAGAGAAATTGTGCATAATTGTATGTAATCTTATTTCAGAGTTACAAAAGGAAATAAATCGTGTATTTATTTTTATTCCGTGTCAATTGATGTCAACCATCGATCTTTCCAGAATTGTTAATTATAGATGTGTCGACAGCGTCGTTAATGAATGTTGCACTTATTTTTAGGAAAAATACCCTCCCAAAAACAACGGCGAGTTTGGTTTCAAACCTTTAGCGTAACACATTTCGAGTATCAGTTATTATTATATAAGTTGAAAGTCGAAAATGCGTTGAATGAGATTTAAAACAAAGTTTTTTTTTATCGTAACTTCCTAGGCTAGAATTTTCCGTTCGCCAACACGTGAGTAAAATAGTTAAATCATCTCGTTGTAGATACTTCAGCTCCTTGTAGAGAGATTGAATAGCCGATTTTAAAGCATGTTCGGAATTCAATCTCTAATCAGTCCGAAGGTAAAATAAGACAACATGAGAGGTGTGTAATGAACGGGCAAAAATATGTAATGTTACTCATAATCGAAGAGCGCAATTTTACGTGTAATAAATGTTCGTAAAAGAAATCGGGCGTTATCGAGATTTCTTTAAAGTTGGCAGATAAATCGCGAACGTGACTATAAAAGATTAGTATGTGAACAGTTTGCCAGCAGATTCGAGCAAAATATCGCGGCAGATTGGCATCAACTGTATTCGTATTAGACACGTGTTCTGCGCGAAGAATTTTCATTTCTTTATCTTGAACATTATGTAATTATGAGACAGCACGGCATTTCGAAAAACTTTACGAGAGCTTCTTAAAATCTTACGATACCACCAAATTTTACTAGTAAAATGCTTAAAATATCCAAAAAAGTTGGACTTACCGACCCGATGCGCAGCAGCGGAGTTTACGTTGATTCTGCAACATAAATATGAAATTTATATTATAAAAATGTTCAAGAAAGCTAATACTGCAAACTTTTTATGCGGTTAGATGTTTAAACGATTGTTGCGCGAAAGATGTTCCGTAAAAGAACTTCACGAAATAACAAACTTTTATAAAACTTCAAATTACTTCTCTTTTTTCAATTATTATTTTTCATTGTGGTAAAGTAAAATGATAAACAGGAGGTAGATGAATTTTACTCGAGATAAAAAATATTTACCTTAAAGTTGCTCCGCCGGTGCCTGATGCCTATCCTCGGCCTCCTCCTCCACTCGGGCTGTCCTCTGGCACACTCGCGGAGACGATCTTTCGCGCGACTTTACACTCCCGATTGCAAAGCCCACGTGAAAGTGTTAACTGTTCCGGCAAGTTCGCCTCCACTTCGAGTCGACGAGTATTATACTCCAAATCTCAGAAGTGTGGCCATCGGATATTTCACGAATACTGTCAAATGGGCTTTGAGAAAGTCTTTAGTTCGATTATCAAACGGCACTCCCGAACGCGACGAAAGTGGAAACTTTATGTTATATACGCGCACTTTTGTACACATAATAATTGTTAGAGAGATTATTTTACCCGACGACTCGTGTATTACCTCGCGCTTTTCATCTAAAAGTGACAAATCCCAGCAAACTTGGTGTTTAACACATGACTGTCATATTACATTTGCACTGATGTCATGTAATCGTTACTTTGGTGTTTGCTGGGATGTTTCACTTAAACCGATGAAAATTTCTAAGCACGGCGTAAGAGAGATTTAAATAACCCTCGTACGAGACGATCGCGTCACGAGGAGCGACGCGAAGACGCGCGGAACACCCGCCTCGCTCGACTGAACCGCGACAAATAATTCGGTACAATAGACTGTTTTCGACCGAGGTGTTCGCGGTGCTACGTCATTTCTTGGAACCAAGGCCGCGGCGCTCTGTTTTTTGACCGAGTTGTTTACATCGCTACGTCATTTCTCGGAATCGACGGTCGGTCTACGGCGCTCGGCACAAAAACGAAGTCACGCCGTACGCCGTACGGATTATTTACGCGGCGACGGTCGAACGAGTCGGTGGCCCGCGCCGCTCCGAATATCATATTGTTCTTTCTTGATACGCGTTCGCAACAAGTGCGGGAAGAAACCGCGATCGCTCTCTGCGAATAATCAGCGTGGGTGCAAACTCATGGAGCGAAACGGCGTACGCAGAAAATCGCGGAACGAGAGCTTTGACCAATCACGAAAACAGCGGAACGCTCGTGATTGGTCAAGGCTATTTTCGTGATTGGTCAAGGCTATTTTCGTGATTGGTCAAAGCTCTCGTATCGCGAATTTCTACGTCCGCCGTTTCGCTCCATGAGCTCGCACCCTCGCTGATTATTCGCAGAGAGCGATCGCGGTTTCTTCCCGCACTTGTCGCGTTAATGATTAATTATATTGTAACATTTACTATAATTGATCGTTTAAATTTATACATCGGCGATTTCTGTTGATTAAAAGTCGTACCGTCGAATAAATTTACAAACGAATACCGAGTGCAAATAGTAACATCGTGCAATCGTATATTTTTCGTGTTTCCTTTCCTGTCGCGTGTGATTAATACTGAGGTGTTATACAAAGTGCCACGAAGTCTTGTTCATCCCACGAGGTTTGGTCAATCATGCCACGAAACGTAAGTACACATTCGATATGAGATTGATTACGAGAAATTAAATCTGACTAATTCCACTTTACATTTGATAGAAAATTCGGTAATACTGAATTTATTTCATGACCGCAACTTTTCATGGTATCTGTCTTGCAATATCGGAGTTTATTGTCGACGTTTTCTTTGCCAGTGCTAAATTACAAACAATATTATTTCACTAGAACTGGTTGAAATTTTATTTCTCATATCATAAGTTATTTAATATTATAGAAGAAAAATACCAGAAATTACCGAATTTCGCCTCTTCTTTCGACAGGAGTAAAGCCAGCGACACATGGTAATATTTTTTTCTACTGAATTGCCTGCTAGCGCCTTTTCTGGCAGAACCAATCAGGATTCTACGTGATGGGTCAGACGAGTTAAGATTGCATCCTGATTGGCTCTCACCAGCCAACAAAGGTGCACGCCAAGCAAGCCAGCAAGCAAAAATAAGCATCGTGTGCCACTGACTTTAAGCCAGCAGACATTTTTTTTCTTGCTTGCAATCTAGTAAATTACTATAATTGCACTACTCAGCACTCAGGATTTCTAGTAATTTACTAAATCGCAAGCAGCCCAGCAAGAAAATAGCATCGTGTGGCTTCAACTAAATTTCGGCTAACTTCCGAGTCAATACATATTTAATTAAAACTATCTGAATTACTCATAAACCTTTTTAATCACACTTCATAACTCTTCGTACAAAATATAAACGATTGCAAATAGGAGTAATTAAAATCTACGTTTATTTCCGGTCAAGTGTGAGCGAATCATTGCATCTTATTGGCAGATTTGTTTCTGCCAACAGTAAATTTCTATGATTCTTGCAACTGTTAGTTTTCGACAGGTTGGACTCTGAAAGCGTGAGACGCAGACGAGACACGTGGTTTAAGGTTTCGCAATTCGTTCGACGTCGCTGCTGAACGGCCGTCGGCGATGAAGGGCCGCCGAGGAAAATCGCATCGAGCGATTTTGCAATTCCACGATATGGATAAGAGTGCATTGTTATGGAAGACGTACTGCTCGAGCGTTTGAGATGTTAGCGTTACGCGCGGGCGACGCGGTCGGCGGGGGTGATCGTTCCTTAAATCATAATTCCGACCGCTCGCATTTGTCACGCTACTCCCGAGTGCGTGAACGACCGAAATATCGATTGTTTATGTTATGTCTGTATCGCAACAAGAGGCAAATGACGATCAGCGCCGGCCATTTTGAATCGAGAGCCACGCGCCGAACTGGGCACCTAGCACGGGAAGTGTTCGGAGTCGTGCAATTTTTTCCAAGGTTTCTATTGCGTTTTCTCGGGAAAACGGAATTATTCCGATCGGAATCCATTCCGCTGGGCACCTCTATCGTGGGAACATTCGACATAAATTTGGTCAATATGACATCAAATTGACATTATCCTGACTTTTTGTTCTCCTTGGGTGATAAATATTGTTCTTCTTACAAAATGACTGAAATGCGCGTAAATTGTTGAAATTACTCTCTTTTACCTCGAACAGCTGCGATAGTTCGAACATATTTTTGAAAAAATGTAAAATATTTGCAAACGTGATATTAAATTTTGATCGGTTTGTCAATTTTAACGCCATGGCCGTCAGTGTTGAAAAGTGAGAGGTCGACATATTTGGTGTAAAATCGACGAGACTGCGAAACGCCGCTCTTGCTCTATTGCAACATTTTACGATGCATATTGTAACTGTGGCAACAAGACGCTAAATTTTAATCGCAACTATCCATCAGTACTAAACAAACAGAATAAAAGAATTGTCTATATCGATACCATTCAACATAATATTGATACAACTACTGATACATTCCAGAGGATAAGTCTCAAACGAATTTCAAGTATGAAGGCGCGATCGTTTCCACGGAGACACGAGGTTGCCTCGACGCCGTCCCGAGACGAGGGGGCACCGCCGCGGCCCCGTCACGTCCCTGGGCGCCCCGCAGTGTCGCCCCACGGCGGCGCGCTTGAGCCGCGTAGTGGCCCAGCAAGTGTTTCCCCGAACATGGCGGACGGTGCTCGTTCGAATTTCCATGGGACACAATGAACGTGCGCCGAGCTCGCCGCGGTGATGCCGATAACTGAGGGCGTGTCGTGATCGTGCAGTCGGCCTACGTGGGTGCCCGGGGCATCGTCGTGATCGGCGCGGCAGCGCGATACGGAGGCAGCGGAGCGAGGCTTTTGCCGCCGTCGTGTCGCCGCGAGTGCGCCGAGCGAGCGAGCGCGAGCGAGAGCCGACCGTGGCGGGGCCCCCCCCATGGTTAGGTTGCTGTTGGATGTCTGACCGGAGCCGGAAGATGAGGCCCGAACGTAGCAGCGCGTGATTCCCACGGCCGAGACGCTGAGGTACGACCGCGCCGACCCGACACGGCCCGACGAGGCGCCGCGCGCGCGCCGCCGCCGGGTTTATTTACGACGCCGCGGGGCGTACGGGACGGCCCGCGCGCCCGGGAGCATCGCCGCGAGTCGCCGCCCCGCTGCCAGAAGCCGATCGGGGCCCCTGGGGGTTGACGGTTCCTCTGCTTCTCCGTCTCCTCACCCTTTGCTCTTTACCTCGCTCTCTCTCTCCCTCTCCCCCTCTCGTTCTCTCTTTCCCTCTTTCCCTCTTCCTCTTCTTCTTTCTCCCTGTTTCCATCCGTCCTCGTTGGATTGATCGGCCCGACGCGGGGGATCGCCCGCGCGCCCGGAGAAGAGCGAGGAGGATCGCCGGGCGTCGCGAGAACACGCGAACGCCCGCGACCACGTCGTGCGACTCCGAGGGACGCCGCGCTCTCTCCCTCGGCGGCGAGAGTGAGTGCGCCGGACTGTTTTTTTAATGAGACGCCGATCATATGATCGCGCGCGACCGCATACCCGTGCCTCCAATTGTGCAACAACGTCTCGCCCGTAGCTGGGCGACGGACGACGCGCGGCCAAGTCCCCCTCGAGCGCGCGTCACCTCGCACGTTGCGTTGCCGCGGACGCTCCCCTGGCGTCCGAGGCGACGATGCGAACCGAGTCGCGTGTCGTCTCGTCGACTGCCCTCGAGAGCTTACCCCCCCCCCCGAGAGCGCGGTTTGCGTACGAGATCTTGACCGTCCTGTATTCTAGGGCCGTACGGGAATTCTGCGGCTTGCTGCCGAGGCTTCTCGGTAACCAGCGAGAAACCATGAAAAGCCGTGTCCCCTTCGAGGATTGTCCTCGCCGTTGGATGCCGCTGGTTGACGATACCGAGAAGCGTCGCTAGCAACGTTACAGAATCCCCGCACTGGTCTACGATACACTAGGTAAGCCTGGAGCAAGGAAATCTATTTCATCTCTCGCTCCTGCTTGAGCTCTTGCGTTTACTTTCGGCGAATCGAAGCTTGTGCCACCGATATTTCGCCCTTATTTCAGTTTCTTTACGGCGAAAGGTTATGATTCTCCTGCGCTTAAGGTCACTATTGCATTTGTCGCACGACACATGCTTTAAGCGCGTTGACTGGCTACAAGCTAGAAAATTTTTAGCTTGTAGCCAGAAAAAAAAAGCTAAAAAATTTCTAGATCTTGGAGAATTTTCCTATCCTGGAGCCAATCGACACGCTTGCCGCTCGACAAGTGTAACACAAATCTGATTTGCTGCAGGCTTGCTCCATTTGCGGTAGACTAGGCCTTCGATTTTTGTTTGATGTGTAGGTTAGCGTGCAGTGGCCGAAAACGTGTTCGCTCCCTCTGCCTTTTCGCATCGTGGCGTGATAGAAAACAATTGCAAACTTATCTCTCATGCTATCGCGTATATTAGTTAAGAGATTCGGTAAGAGAATAGTAGAGAAGATTAGTAATTATTTGTCGTGTATTTTCTCACATTTAAGTCACCGACAGGGAGTTTGCAGGGAGTTATTCGTATTCCTTATTGCTGCAGCTGCGACAAGCTCGATCTAGCTTCTAGTAGGTGTACGCTCGATCACGCTTGATTGTAATAGTTGTCTTGTGTTTCAGAAACAGGGTAGAAAATGTCAGAGCCTGAGGAAAGTCTGGCGGCGCCCGATAGTACCACAAGGGAACAGCGGGTTGGCTTCTCTCACGGAGACGATGTTCTTCAGCACAGAGATGGCAAATATTACCTTGGTACAGTTGTCGAGGTACGAACGAGCCCTGTATTCCCCATCTGGCAGCGCTCGGTGTTACGCCAACACTGAAATTCTTTCTGTTGCGCAGGTGGACTTGGCAGGGGAGAGATGTCTTGTCAACTTTCTGGACAACACATCTTCCTGGTCGTCGTTTAAAGAGCTGGCAAAATTGGCTATGCCAGACTCGGATGTTATGTGTGTCCTCTGCAAAAAGTCTCAGCCTAAGACCGACAATGACATTGTTGTCTGCGACAAATGTGGCCGTGGCTATCACCAAATGTGTCACCAGGTGCGCATCAGAATACTTATTCGATATACTGAGATCGTAGAAATAAGTTATACGTCAGAAACTGACGGAGACGTGAAGTACGGTTTAATAAATGAAGAACATAACATGCGTTTGCAGCCCGAAATACCAAAACCAGAGCCAGGTAAAGATAGTCACTGGATATGTAAAAGATGCACAGATAGCCAGCCACGTACGCGTGAATCTTGCGAGCCGAAAAACTCCATGGTTAAAGCAAGCATCAGAAAGGTTTGCAGCGGCAGGGACCAACCTCAACCACCACCAGATGACATGACAAAATTGCCATATGATGTAAGAATTGGATATAAAATATATATTGTTAATAATTTGTACAATTATGTTTTATACGTGTCGGAGAGCGTGCCGGAAATTTGTGAAGATAGATTGCGTAACATATTTTCATCCCGATGTAATTAATTTCAGCCCGATATGCTAAGTTGGGATCATCATCACAGAGTGAACGCCGAACAAATTTATTGTTACTGTGGACTTAATGGCGAATGGTATGCACAGATGTTACAGTGCGGTCGTTGTAAGCAATGGTTTCATGAAAAGTGCATCAGGTGCTTAACTTATCCCTTGTACAGTGGTGATAGGTAAGTACAAGTACTAAAATGGTAAAGGAGTCAAGTTCAATTTGAATGTAGATTCGAACGAGCACAAGTTTTTATTGAACTATCCCTAACGAGCGAGTTAGCGTTGCTACATCGTACTTTAGTCTTTAATGCTCGAATTAGCCTTTTGTAAAATCAGGGTATACAAGAGCGCGAGAAGGAAACTTGAGATCCACAAACTACGAATCGATTGCTTTCGTATAGAGTCACGCGTTGTCTCATACAAATTTTCTTTATCTCTCCACGAGGGGTAAACCGCTGAGAGCATTGTGGTGTACAGATTCACGGCACTACTGGGCATTACTAGGCATTTTTTTGGGCATTAGTTTGAACATTAGCCCACGCTGAGGCGAATTATAAAGATAAAACAAGATAAATAAGACAAAGTAATGCCCACTGGGTATTGGTATACATGATTTCGATCAGCGGTTCGCCCCTCGTCTCTCCGTCTCTCTACAATTTTATGTAGTTGAATTATTAATCGTTTTTACAGATTTTATGTATTTGTTTGTTCAATGTGCAATCATGGGAAAGAATTTGTTCGGCGTTTAGAAATGAAGTGGGTAGATCTGGTGCACCTGATGTTGTACAATCTGACTGTTTATAACGCTAAAAAGTATTACGACTTCGACACCGTTATTATACCTTACGCGAATGACAACTGGTTGACCCTGCAGCTTCCACCGCGGGTAAGAGTGGTCGACACGTACAAATTTGCAGCGTACAAAACATTGTGGTCGTAATATTTGGTAATCACAGTTCGTAATACTGTGTGCATACTTTTAGATTAGAGATGTCAGTGTTGAAGTACGCAGAGAATCAATATTGACAGTGTTGACGAACAATAGAAACAGGTTCAAGTGCGGTAAGGAAATCAAGAAGCGCACCACAATATGGGGTCTCCGTACCAGACTGCCGCCACCTTCTCCATTTATCAGCCTTCCAGTATCCGGCGAGATAGACGATTCTGTGTTACGCAGATGTTGGGCTGGTAATAAAAGACTGCAATACCTTCCACCACCAACAGGGTTAGTGTGACGCGCCTATCGTAGATGCACGATATAGAACTAATTATTAATTTTCAGCACATGTGCAAATTGCAATGTTAAACTTGAATATTTCAGCCCGGTAAGTTTGCCAGAAAGTACAAAACAATTGATTGCGTTGAAACAAAAGGTGGCAGAGGATGTTGAAATTCCTGTCAGTCCTACACACTTGGTAATGCGGGGTACGCTTTATCAAAATTCGGAAGCAGAACAAAGTTCGTGTCCAAGTCCACCTCCATTAACAGAATCCAGTCAATCAATAGAATCGTTAAGAAGCAGGTATGTCATTCTTCATGCACATATTCATTTACGATTCGTTGGACTTTCTCGAAGGCAATGTAGATTTTTAACACACGTATTGATTTGTTTATATGAAAACAAAATGTATACTATATTATATTAATTTTTGCAGATATTGCAGTATAGGCGGCGGTTTTGTAAAAAAATCATTCCCATTTCCTAAGTTGAGTGTACACAAAAGAATTCGTCGTCTACTAGCATTAGGCAATTCACGGAAAAGAATGCTACGTAAACAGAAGAAAAGGGAGAAAGCGTGTGGAGATAGTACGAAGGAAATATCGTTAGAAGACCGAGAAGCGAGATACAGGAAAGCAAGAATATTATTGAAAAATGCCATTGCCAAGGTAAAGGAAAGGAAGGTAAGATCACATGTGCATTAAACGCACGATAAAAAAAAACCAAGACGATAGTCACTCGACCTCATCTGTCCTCGGGAGAAATAAAAGATCGAGTATCGCGTCATATCTTTGAATATGCGCAATGTATTGTGCCCGATGTACAAGAGAAATAAGCGTCATCTTTTTTTCCCCATTAATGCAGAGCAAACCACAGAGCTCGGAGGCGTCCGATTTACCTCCGACACCACCAACCTCCGTTTCCGGACCGCCGACACCGCCAGCTGCAACGTCGGGCATATCCGAGCTGTCTGTGCCTAGTTCTGTGGATCTTATGCATCCTCTGCCACCTTCGACGCCGGCGGACACGAGTGGCGACGAGACCAGTTCGAGAGGAACCCTCGATTCTTTTATTCCACCACCCAAAGATTTCGAGGGGAAGAATAATCCGTTCAGTGATTTAGTGGGCACACCCTGTAGCCTTAATCAAGTAAACTCGAGTACGCCGTTACCCTACAACCAGTGCCCCATCACGTTGCCTCTGCCACTGACGCCTGTGATCTCGCAACCGCCGGTGGTGCGTCCGGCCAAGAGGCAGTTATCGGAGAAGGATATTATCGTTGACAGAAACGGACAGGTGAAGCGTAGAAGGCAGCATCGGCGGGGACGTCCGCCCATCCAGCAGCAAGTCCAGCAACAATTTCAGCACACCGCTAGCAAGACGGCGGCTATTCTACCGGCTCGTAATAACGAAGTTAAAAGTGAATTTGCCAGGAATTTAAGAAGTTCATTTAATGGTGCCTCGAGCAGTGCAAGTAGTCAAATTGGGAATTGTGTGGATTATGCCTTAAATGGTAGGAGGTTGAGACAGCGGCAAAGTAATGATAAATTACCTCCTCCCGATCCGCAACCGCAAAGAAAGAGCAGCCTGTCTTCATCCCCAAAGTGTTCGCCTGTGAAGCAAAGTGCGCCCGACATATCTCTGGATGATCTAAAATCGTCGGTGAATATTTACTTCGGTGCGGCTAATAGAATAGCCGCTGGTGAAAAGTTTGCTATGAAAGCGAAGAGGATAGGGCCGAACGGTCAGATGCAGTACCTCATCGAATGGGAGGGACTCAATACTTAACGGTAAATAATCCGCTTACTACGAATACATTGCAATCGTATACAAATTTTTAAGTTGAGATCAAGCGTAAGGCATCCTGTAATCAATCTTCTCGATTTGCTTTTACAGCGAAATGATTGTGATCGATTGTTTTGCGTTACATGCACTGCCACTTGTTACGTACATTTCATTAAAATGTATGTATTTATCGGCGTAGAATATGTGAGTGTTCTTGTAAACGTATGTTTCTCATTTCAGTCTTGCGCGACATTTTTATTACGCTTATGATAGACATTATTGTTAGACAATGAATTCATCGTCCCATTTAGAATAAAATTGACTTATCGAATGTGTGTGTATCAAATTATGTTGCTCGACGATCTTTTTTTTTACGTTCATCTATTTTTAATCTATTTTTTTTATTTTAATAGAAACAAAGTATACGATACACGTTGATTCTCTCGTACACTTATCACCGCTCACACACATGTACATCTGAAACGAATACACACACCGAAATGCTCGTTTGGAAAAAAAAAACGTTTGCAAGAACAACCGGATGTATTGCTTGTAATCTGTAAATAGTGTAGCATAGTAGACTTGCGGAAGTGATCGAAGTAATCCACGCGAGAACAGTCCCATGTGACTTGCATTCATCTACAGAAAGATTGGCCAATCGTCTTCTCTAAGTATCACGGACAAACCATGAGTATGAATCAACAAGAAAAAAAGAACCGAGTCGAACCAGATACTTGTTCCTCTTACTTGTGCTAACGTACTAGCGAATGTTAGTGGTTAGCGGTAAAGAGTAAAGCAAAGCAGACATCCTGCAAAGGTTATTTTTCAATACACTCGTAGAGGTAATCGTCGCCTTCTGTAACTTCATTGTCTTGGGTCGCAATTCCGCTTGTTCTTTCGGTGGTCAATGACACGACGCAAATCAAAAATTCTCAATAAAGGAACTCGACTTTTACGCTCGCGAATCAATTTGCATGACATTGAATGCATTAAAGGGACGCAATTGTAATATAATATAATCGTACGGATCAGACGCAAGTCAGTTGTATTTGAGACGATGAAGGTACAGATTTAGCATTGCTCATTATTATACAAGACTAAGAGAAAACGGCACATCTGTCTCGTACCATTTGAAATTAAACGAACGGCGCACTGAATATGTAAGTAATTGGCCAAGTTATCTGTGCAAAAATAATACCGTAAATATGGACTACTCGAAAAACTGTGTTATCAGGCATACGATACGTGAGCTCATTATTGTGTAGCTGTGCACTGTAAAAAAAACGATCTTCATGCGTTAAAAACTAGAAGCTAAATTACTATTGTACATAAAAATAGGTTGGTATCTAAACTGTCATGTAACGCAGTTAGATACTAGTAGTCGGTAATTGTAACAGTCTCGCAAATTACCTTACAATAATTTTTGATACAGATTATTTTATACGACTCTGGACCCTGCTGGGATTATTGCGTAAGAAGCATTTTGTACCTCAAACTGCACAGAATCTATGGTCATAACTTACTAATCAGAAAATATAAGCAACTATAGGGGGATATAAAGTAGACATTGCAGTAGTAGCCACGATTAGAGACTCAAATCAAAAGAGCTTATTAGAAATGTGAACTGAACATTTCATTTTCGGTCTATGATGAGTTATAGAGATTCGTTCTTACAATGGAACCTTGTTTTGCATCTGTTCATGACGCGTCGCTGACGGGAAATCAATGTACAAATCCTTGTTTCTGGTGTTTTACGTCAATTGGAAACCCTATCGGAAACAATTTTAATTGTGACAGTTGCTTATGCACGATTGTAATGATCTTTTAGAAGCGTATCTACGTTTTTTTTTAATATAAATTAATTCTTATCGAATCTTGCTTAAATTCAATAAGTGAATGTCATCTTAGATAATTTATTTTCGAGTTTCTCTCATTAGACTAAAATGGCGAATCCATAAAGAAAACTCATGCTCGAACGTCAACATTATGAAACATAGGAATTCATCACTGCTATTTATTTAAACTTCCTAATGCAATGGCACTTTTGCATTTTGGTTTCTTGGAAGAGGCTCAAGCAACCTGAGGCCACTGTGGTATGAAATGAGAGATCCTTCACGAATCGTCTTTTTATTGTAGTCGGTAAAATTTTAAGCGAGTCAAACGAGTGTGTCAAAAATTTCGAATCTTCCTTTCATCAACCTTTAGACGAGTAATTTTTTTTAAACCGTATACAATGGTGGATATTCTTTTCGTACCTTTCGACTACGGCAACTCACGTTTCATATACGTATTTCTCACAACTTTCGTAATGCGTTGTCTAGCGATGTTATTTAAAAAATTTCCATTAACATTATATACACGTATGTATGTGATTTCATGTAGTTACAACAATTTCAAGAATATCTTTTTCGATTCATACCACAGCAGACTATTGACATCTTTTCTAGAGTGATACGTAGGTAATATTGGACGAAGACAAGAAATGGAAAACACTGCCAAATTTCTAAGTTATATTTAATAAAAGACGTCGGACATTATTGCGTTATGGTATGTAATGACGTTTAATTAAATCGAATTGCGATTCATACTTATCGTCGCGCGTTATTTCGCGGGCGAATTTCGCGGAGATGTATCGCTAACAAATTTCATTTCAACGAAGCCATTTCATGCGAGTCGCTGAAAGCAAGATGAGGCGTGAACCTAAACGGTTTCCCGCATTTTGATGTGAGAGATGGCGTAGGGGAGGCGAAAACTCGAATAGCTTGTTGAACAAAGTTGAAGAGGCGTACGGCATTTCTGGTACATTTTTCTACAACTCCGTCTCCAGTTGCACGATAACAATGGCCGAGTCTAGGACGTGAAACCAAAAGGACACAAGGTCGAAAGAAACACAAACGTATAGATTGAGGCTTTAACTCCTTAGTCAAGGTGAATTGTAAAGACTGCAAAAACCGTAGGATTGTACGTGTAATATGCTATTGCATTCTCTAGCCTTGACCTGGTATTTATTGATACCTTGTTTTCCTTTATATGTACGTAGCAACGAAGTAAGTTCCATTAGGCGGTAACTAATTCTATCAGCCATGAATCTAATTTGAATATTGTACGGTTATCGATAACCGAAGCGATAAAAGGACAAAATGCCTAAATGTAAATGCCGAGAGTTCAGTATTCGCAAAAAGGAAGTCATTAATGCTGCTTTTATATTATCTTGCGTCTGATATAAGAACTGATGTTTGTTAATTCGTATCGAAGAAACTTATTAATTTATTAATTTATCAGATCAGATTGAGCCGAGCTAGCTAGCGAAAAGTAAGAGTTTCGAACAGTTTTTTGTCCAATTCATCATTTATAGAAAAGATTCCTAGTCGATTTATGCGCAATCTCGTCCGTCTGTGCTTCTAGATCTGGCCTTAAAAGAGTATTGCCACGTGCAATGAATAATGAATTTTACGAAAGTTTTTTGAAATCTTATCACACATTTTACTAGCAGAATGTATAGTAAAGTTTCCAAAAACTCATACAGTGCTTCGAAATGCCACGTTGTCCCACGATTACATGATTTTCGTGGCAAATTTTAAGGGAAAAATCTGTCGGTGTATCATCGATGATGAAATAGTCCTTTTTCTAAAACCGAAAGTAGCGCTTTGCGAGTCCTAAGCCTCTCCCACGCTCATCTCCGTCGGTATAACGATACTAAAAGCGATGCGAGACAATTCCGTCGACGATCCGTTGGCCGTTTCTTTCCCTTTAGCCGTATGCTTAAGTAGGATAAACGAAGGACAACACTGCGTCGCACCGACGCGACGGTGCATTACTAAACGATATAAGCCGTTCGACCACGCGTTCCGACATTGGGAGCGTCATCTTCGCGACCTTCGCCGCGTTTTTGTACGAGAGTTTACACACGACTTCTACGCGTCCAGGGCGAACGACCGTCGCGGTCGGCGTCGGCGGAACAGCCGTCCCCCCAGGTCTATCTCTGTCGCGCGTGGAAGTCGGAAAGTTCGGAGAGGAGAGCCCGTTATTAAAGTTAACGCGCCGGCCCGCGGCGATGATTTTAATCGCCGCGACGAAGCGCGGCCCCGCACGTCCCGCAGAGCCGAGGGAGATGTTGTCTAGTTAATTATCGCTATCGCGAGACGAGGTTGACGTTCGTTCGGCCGTGCGTGCCGTGCGTGCGAGCGCGTCGAATCGGCGCGGCCGTGCGCGTCTAATCGGAGCGGAACGTGCGGCCAGGGAGATGGCATGAGAGGGCGAAAGTTATACTGCCAGTATCGTGTGTACATATACTATATGACTCCCGCATCCTCCTTCATCGCTCGCCCTCCCCCTTTTTTTAAGCGTATAAAATAATCCTCACACACAGGTATCACACCCAAGCGTAGCGCATATAGTTCATACGTTGTATTACCGTTTGTACGTTTGCGACGATTACGGAGCGCGCGATAACAGAGCTCGAAGGAGGCTCGGCGTCGCGTCGCGTTCCGCAGCCGGGGGGTCCCACCGTTACGAGACTTCGATCAGAGCGAGACAGCGGAGAATCGCGGTATCCCGGCGCTCGCGAGATGCGTTCTCCATATCCTTGCGGCGCGTCCCCGACCGCGTGGGGGACCGGGGAGTTCCTCGAGTGAGGCTTCTTACGCGGATTCGACAATTGTACATTTTTCTCCCGTCGTGTGCTTCAATCGTGTCGACTACGAAGAAATTTTTATTTTATTCTTTATTCGCTTCATTGATTCACTTATAATATTTATTATACACACACACACACACACACACACACACATATATATATATATAATACATAATTATTGTATAGAGGTAAGTCCTCTATTATGAGACAGGGTTCTGATATGAGATAGCTGGTTTTCAACATGAAAATTTAATCACAAATCTTTATTCACAACAATTACACGATCTAACAATGAATTTTCCATTAAACAGCTTTCACTCCAAAGGCAATAAGTTTACGATAGAACCAATATGGTAGATGATGCCTATTAATTTAGCAAAGACCCTGCTATCTCATATTAGGAGTTTATCTCATAATAGGGGACTTTCCTATATATATATTTATATAAAATATAATATATATATATAATACATATATAATATATATATAATTATATATATATGTATTTCTATTAACAGACTTTAAAAAGTACTGACTCGAACGTTTTTAAAAAGCGCACCGTAATCCACTGAAGAGTCTCGACGTGCGTCATTCGAATTCTTACTCGAAGAACTCCAAGGAGAATCGTAATCGAGCGTTCCCGGGGAACTCGATTCGTACAATTCGGAAATTCGTGTGATAATCCCGACATGGTCCTCGGAGCCTTCGGTCTCTCGCCGAAATCAAAATTCTCGGAACCAAAAATCGAAAACGCTTTAGCCAATGCATTAAAATTAGCGCGAGATGTTACTTGTGAATTTATAGTGTTCTACGTTGTTGAATAAAACGGTTCTCCGATCGATCGGGCCGTCCAACAGGACCAGTTGTGAGAAAACTTTCGGCCACGTTCGGGATTCGTTTCGCATCAGGCGTTGTTCAACGCCCTGTGAATTATCTCGCCGTAACGTCGGCCGAAATCGCGAGAGAGTGAGATCAACTCAAGTTGTCGATTGTGCGCGCGATCGCGATGCAAAGACGTTATTTTACTGCCGAACGAGATGTACGACAGTCACTTGAAAAGTTCTCAGGACGAAGTACAAGTAAAAGACGTTGTACTTTAAACGAGAAGTCCCAATTCTTCTACGAACACGTGTAAAGTTTCAACGACGTTCCATCAGACAGTTCATTTTTCATAGAACGAGCATATCTGCGTGATTTCTGAAAAATGAGCACACTCGAGGTGCGTGCTGTGGTGGAGTATTTTGTGGAGAAGGGCTTATTTGTGAGGACCTACTTTGCATATCAATATGAATATCTTTTGCCGCTAAGTCCTTCTTCAGAAAATACTCTCGTCCTTTTAACGGCACTGGTTCCAAGTATCAGGAACCATCGGCCACGACTAAATTGCCTTTAGGTGAATAACAGGCGGGGGTCCACTGCATCGTTCAAAACATCTAATAGCGAATTCTGCACACTAAGGCTTGTTTACAGTCAATTCTGGTATTTAAGGATCGTCTTAAATGCTTTTTGAAGTACTTCTTAGCCAGCAAATCATCACTTTTTTGGCTAAATAGTTGGACATTTGGACATGTACTCGAGATGACCATAAATAAAAGAATGGCTAAGGCCAGTATTCATAGTCAGATTTTATATTCAAGACTGTTTTGAATTTATCTAAAGATGCTGTATGAACCCCGAGCTACGAAGTATCTAAAGATGATTTTAAGACAGTCTTGAATATATGAAATCTAACTACCAGTCTAAGTAAGTCTTGGTGTACACCCAGTACGAATGAGAACACGAGGCACAGGCTCGATTTTCCGGACCTCGCGAGGGGTGATGCGTCCCCGAGTATCAAAGATTTACTCGTCGACGAGAAGACGTCTTCACTGCTCGATCGCAGCAATTTTAAGTTCGTTCATTTTTCAAAACTCACGCAGATACATTCGTCAAAAAGACACGACATGCTTCAGTCGTGTTATTTGCAGCTGTCAAACCATGCGAATTTTTAGATAGAGAGTAAATGGCGCGCGCAAAGCGCGCGCTTGTGTTGTCTAGTTGAAAAGTACGCTGATGTACGTACGCTAAACTGATGCAACGAGTTGGAACTTGACAGGGGATTGAAAGTTCCCATTACCCGAGTTGAAATTTTGGTACTATTTTGACACTTTTAAGGACAATTTACACCTACATAGACCAGCAATAACCTACTTTGATGACGTTATATTTTTCACTTCTCCCTTGAGTCTTTAATTCTAAAAAATTACTTTAGCTCCTACTTGAAAGAACCTAAATGCTAAATTAGCAAAAGTAGAAATTTCCGACGCTATCAGTTTTAAAGTAGGAATAAATTTTGTACTCGCAGTCCAACCTCTTTTACTGCCTTAGGTCCTACTATATAATAGAATTAAAGGTTCAACATAGGGCCAACATTTTGACTCGGGTAAACGTGTGACTTTCTTTTTGTCTCTCCCTTACGAGAACTTGTGTGTTAAGAGGATCCTTCAGCCACCTTTTTTTACCGATACAGTCAAATATAGTTTTTGCGCTTGTAATTCTTTTTATTAACTTTTATGCACAAAATAATACCAGGATAAGTTGCGGACCGCGTAGCAGAACACTTTCATACTTAAAACACTCGGTTCAGAAGTCTAATGTAAAAAAATATTGGTATTTGAAAGTTTCCATTCGTAGCTCTAACTACATTTAAAATTGGCTTTATAAAATTTCAAAATTCTTCCACACGATTAAAGTACGCATAAAGACACAACCAGGGACAGTCTACTTTATATTTTAAAAAACGAAGCTGAAGGATCCTCTTAACGGTTACGCCATCTTGCCAATTTTGCGAATAAACTCGTATATTACTTGTTGCAATCTTCTCGTTTAATAATATCCTCATGTAACGCGTGACATTTGTCTTTTATTTCGAGAGCTTTTCGAGTGGTCCTACGTACGCGCGAGAAGGTCGAGCGATTCTCCTCGATCTTTTACGAAACGCGCGAAGGACTGATCGCGCGGGTACATCGCGATTCGTGCCGGAAGGCGCCCCGTTCACTTGCCAAAAATATATTATATTTACGGAGTCGGCAGTTTTTGTTCACCTGACAACATTATATGCCCGATCGGGGCGACGGAAAGGCGCGCCCCGATCGTGTCCGATTATTAGTTCGATGTAAGGTAGCGCGTGCGACGCGCGCGTCACACAAAATCTTTCGTACCAGCAACGTGTTCGTATAATAAATTCTACCCTTACTAGATGAATATAGTTTCGACAATATACCGTAATGTAAGTCATTTTCGCGGGGTGTACACGACTTCGTAATCCGACATGATTCTCACAACGAAATGAGACCGAATCGACGCAGCGTCCACACGTGCCAACGGCGTTGGTAGTCCCTGTCGTTCGAGAGAGAGGGAGAAAATTTTCGCCGCTCGCAGTCCAAATTCTTAGTAGGGATTATTTTAGGTAGTAAGGGCTCTCGCGCGCGATCTCGCAGCTAGTATAAATTTTGAAGAGCGTGACCTCGCCGGGAGGCATAGATCGCCGAGCCGAGATCGATTCTGTAATCCTCTCCGTGCAAGGAGACCAGCGACTGTGTGTGTGTGTGTGTGTGTATATGTGTGTGTGTAAAACGCGCGGAAAAAGAGAGCGCGATGCGCTCAATTTGCTCGCGGTGCGTGTGCATTTATTTGCGCGTATGTATGTATGTGTGTATGTGTGTGTGTGCGTGCGTGCGTGCGTGCGTACGATAAATTCTAGAGAGCGAGGACTAAGGGAGTGAGAGGAACGATATTTCGGAGTTAATTTGTCATCGCGGAGGCGAGACGCGACGCGGAAACACGCAGCGAGATAAATGCGTCCGTCCCCACCGATCCTCCGATTGGGAAACGCCGCGCTTGCGGATCTCTCTGTTCCTCCTTTCCGTTCCTTCGCCTCTTTCCGCGTGCGCGCGCGCGCGCGCGCGCGGGGAGAGGCGTTTCGGCCGTTTCGCCAAAATTGGTGTGTGATAGAGAACCACTTATCTCCGCAGATCTCCGAATTTACGTTTCTGCGTATATTTCCAATTTTAATGTTAATTCAATAGTAGCGGACTCTGTATATACACCGCCTGCGCTGCGAAATATTGCGATCGTCGCCCCGGCCGATATCCTTCCGGTGGCCGCCGTCCTCCGATCGTTCGAGGATCCCCGGAGTCCTCGGGGGAGGGACAGCGAGCCGGTCGACGTTCCTCGTCGATCGACGAGCTCTCGCGCGACTGGAGCGAAAACAAAATTCATTATTACTCGTCGCATTGTACATATACAGCCATCGCTCAGCCCGCCCGCGCAGGGGGGGGGGGGGGAAACGTAAGAGACAATCGTTCGTCGAGCTTTCAGTCGCGGCGAAAAGCTCTCCCGTGGAATTCTTCCTCGCGACGACGCGACGCGGGAGGAGGCTCCGGGGGAAACGGGAAAGCGTTCGGCCGGGGTACTTTTATGTTTATAGTATATTATATATACACGGATATGTATACACAGAATGCTCCGGAGTTATCGCCGATTTCACCGATCTGCGGGATCCTCTCGTGCGCACGGACTCCCGAAGTTTCGCGTCGGCGCGCGCTCCCTCTCGCGACCCCGAATTTTCGCGGGGATCCAAGTTGCCCTAGTAGCACAGCGCATTGGCCCGAACGTTGGCCAAACGTTGGTCCAGCATGGACCAATATTGGACTAACGTTTGGCCGACGTTTAGCCAACGCACTGCGCTACCAGGGTCGGTTTCGCGCCGCAAGGCGAAAATGATCCTCGACGATCGTACTGTCCGTCGTTATTTTAGACCGCGAGAGGGCCCGCGATTCTCGCTGCCGGAATTAGCGGAGAAAGAGACCAGAAGAAGAGAGAATCCCCGTGGATGCCGAGCGTTACGGCGACGGTCTCGGGGAAACGCACCCGTACACATGCATATAAATAGTTTTACTTAAGATTATCTTAACGAGCTACAGTTCTGTCCCTTTTCTTTCTTTTTTTCTTTCCTTCTTTTTCGAGCTGTCGTCGTCGACAGCCCGCACGGCGCTCGCTGCCGCTGGAGAACCGCGCTCTCCGTGTTCATTGTTTTTACTCAGCTTGCGTAAAGAGACTGATTCCATAAGAGCTCCCTCGCTCCCGATCATCTTTCATACTTCATCCGTTCTCATTGTCGTCGACTCGAGTGACGCGCGCATGCGCGGAGGCCCACGTACAAAAGGGGGGTTTCAAAGCGAGAAGAAAGGACGGGATCGATCGCCGGGATTGACGGCGATCGATCATCACGGACTCGCTGTTGTAAAGAGAGAAATAATAAACGATACGTGTAGACCTAACAACGGCGAACCTCCCCGCCTTCCGTTACCCAAATGTCCCCTTATGAATATTAATGCGAATCCGCCTCCTCCCCTTTCCAACGTCACGGTACGCGTTAGCGAGTCGCGCTTTTCGAAATTGCGCGCCAGTGGCGTGAGCGATCGACTCTATTAATTTATAGCGTAAACAATCGGCGCGAAATCTAATCGATTCGACGAGCTACGATGCGTTTGGACGGAGATTGACTGCGTCCGAGGAAGATGTGTACGTTTCTAGCGTGCTCACCTGTCCCGCCGAGATTTATCGCGGTTTAGAAATTAATTATTCATGAGTGGAGGAGGTCAGGAACAGGCCCGCGGACGGCCCGGCGGCGAGGCGTCGCCGGGCACCCGAATGTATCGTGTACATACATATGGTGCTCTCTTTAATACAGCGAAGAACGATTCTCCCGAACTTTTTCAACTCGTCGCGAAATCTATGACGACTACGCGTGACATCGGGATAGGATTACGTGGCGCGTAAATATGGGATGGAAGACGACAGGAACCCGGGAACGGAACGAGCTTGGTTCAATAAAGCAGCTTCCTTTCAACCTCAATTCCGTTTATTAAGTATAACAATAATCGCGCGTGAAAAAAATATACCGTATAATTCGATTAAGGGGACGAATTCAAGACCGCTAACTAAATCTTAACATTGGCAATTTAGCATTTTCAAGTATGACAGACGTGTCATACCTAATTGATCTCATTGTGACTTAACAATTTATAATTCCCGTCGGGTATCGTTCTTTTAGTATGGAAAGTAAAGGAAATGGCTCGTATGTAACCAAACCGACAACATGCCGCGGCATGTTACTTATCGTTAAAATACTATTTTCATTTGTGCAGCATATATATCGAATCGTAAACAATGCAGCATCATTTTACTGTGCATTAGAGATGTAAGACGCAAAACGTATTAAGATGTGATAATAAAGTTTACACTTTTCTTATGCACTTGATTAGTATCGACTCGCAAAATATTTCATGCGTGAAAAACAACGCAATTTATTAATTTATTTAACCATGGTAACAAAATATAGTATCTTACACGTAATATTACAGTTTACAATAGTGAGCACAAATAATATCATTATGTTGCATGTATAGATACACTGTACAAACTGATAGAAAACTTTACAAAATGGCTAAATGTATCTATTAAGATGCAACAGATTTAACCCGTCCAGCTCTAGGTTAATAAATAATTTTATGTATGTATCTATCGGTCTCTTCATCACGAAGAGGGAAAAGAACTCTTCTTCCTGAGCGAACGTATCGCAAGGTGATAGATTGAGATTTAAACAGCCTACATAGATTGTCAATTTAAAGTTTACAATCCGAAATATCTTCATAGATAGAATATTAATATACATTAACAGTTTGGTGTTACTATTATATACCTAATTTATTCTCTAATTGTAAGCTAGCCTAGAACAAATTCCTCCTCTCGGATCATATCCGAGGATTATTTGATTTTGTTGTTGATATCACCGCGTTAAATACACATGATTATCGTTTATGTCAGGGTGTCATCACCGATGCTACGGAAGAAAATATCTCAGCTTGCAGCGGACCGTAATCAACTTCTTCGCCGTCCACGGTTATATGTCCGCTCATTCCTTCCATAGGTTCTATCCGGAATGCCTTGACAGGTATCATATCAACGCCAGGACAAGTCACATGAGTCCCGCTACTCAGACCTAATAAAAACTAATAAGCGAACACGATGAGTATTGCTACACGAGCGTATCGTTTTCTTCTTCTTTTATCAGTCTTTATTAACGTAGCTTACTTGTACTAAGTTGGCCCGTGTAATACCGGCTTTAACTATCAAAAGCCAAATAATTCCATCTGCTAATGTAGCACGTGGCGCGAAAAAGTAGTCCTGTCCCAAATGCGTTTGATAAGCTGCATGCACCATTATGAATTCCCCTGAAATTTCAAGCGCGTGTGTAAACACTGACGAAATTGCTTTTAATCAACGTGCGTTGTAAAAAAAATAGTGTAAAAATTCTACAAATTAATTTTTCCAACGTAGCGCACGTACGAGCATCGTGCCGCAACTGAAAAGTGCTACATTACATTATCAATATTTTTTTTCAATTATGATTCATTGCATTCGGCGTTTTATTAAGTGGTACGTGACGTTACTTCGAATTCAACTGGAGTTAAAGGGTTAATAAGTGATGCATTACGCGGCAACCTTTGGCACCGTATATATAATACGACAATATATTATATGACAATTACAATAAATACATGTCTTTGAACTCGGTCCCTATAAACGAATCTGATAAACCACAAATGTTAGAATTAAAATGTTTATCCCGTCAATATGATTTCGAAATACTTGGATAAAAATATCTAGTCAAACGTATGTTTAAAAGAGAGGCGGCTCGAAGAAATTTATTTAAAATTGTCGAAAGTCCGAAACAAGACCTGCGTTACTTAAGCAATTACCTTGGACCGTTGTCCAGCAGTTGGAGAGCTGCGTTGTTAGTGCCGGAAGTGTAGATGACGGTCCGTACATAACTTGATTGTTACAGATGTTTTCTGCGGCTTAACGATAGATTTATCAGTATGGATATTATAAACTTAATGGGAGGTACGTTCGATTTTAACAACATACCAATCTCCGCGCTATCATCGTCCTCCACGCTGTGATAACTCGAGGCCGAACCTGTGCTGAAATAAGTCGACTTGACCGACGTTGCGGAGTAGAAACTGTCGAGTCGGTGCCTCCTCTCGTTTTCCGTCTCGAGGGCGAGGTTCTCAGTTATCACGTCGTTATCGTCGCAACCGTTTAATTCGTTGGATGATTCACCGAAAGTATTGTAGAAGCCTTTCGGTACTGATTCAGGTTCGGCACAACACCTATGTAGACATTACTTTTCTCATAAACTCGATAAGTAACTGGGAAAGCGGTATAGATAACATATCGTTTCCCTTGTCGCATTTAGTACACAGACTTTGCGCAAAGTGTAATCTGTGTTAAGTTATCGAAGATATCTTCGGACTGAGGAGCCAAATTATTCAACTCGACGAATATGCAGTGTGTATATATACAATTGAATTTCAATACACACACAGCATACTTACGGCGACACTGTTTTCGAGCCACAGATTCGGTATCTTTTGTCTCCAGATATACAAAAGATACGAGCTCCGAAAGAATTGATGACAGAACTTTCGTGTACGTGTACTTTGAAATCGTCTTTGCTATCTGGCGCGTGGCACGTTGACGCAAACGGTCACGCTGTCGTGCCTTAATACATGCGTTTATCTGCCATTACATTCCATTAAAAAAAAAAATCCGTTATTATCATCACGCGAGATTATTACCTGTCCAATTCGTCGCCGTAGCTTCTCGAGTGCGACAGTATGTTCTCCGTGACGTAGTCCTTGTGAAATATCTTGCCGTTTCCCATATTTTCCGTCGGTGGGACCTTGCTGCATGGTAAATAGGACACTTTGCCTTTGTACGTTCTCAATCCTATTAGGCGCGCAACGCTCCACACGGTGAATCTTTGGCCTCCGATGGCACGCAGTCGTTCACTTTCGATGTCAATGTCGGCGAGCAGGCCCCAGCCTACTGACAGGAACGAGAAAAGGATCTGACTCCTTGTTTCTACGCGCACGATGTCCATCGATGTCCTTTTGCACTTGACCGCCGATAGCGCGCTGATAAGCAGGGGATTGCGATCGTACGGTTCTCTGAAACGTCACCCCGTTCTTAGACTAACGCACCTTTAGTCATAGCTTTGCCGAGATATTCAGGGAATTAAGTAAACAAGACTTTTCTCGATCGTAAGACGAATAATCCGCTTAAAATTGATATGAGTTCCGGCGACGCGAATCGGAAAGATAACATAGAAAGTTACATTGTTCTCAAAATCAAGAACGAGAATATTCTTGAGAATACTCGTTTCCCACAGTCTTTAGTCGCCGATAGCACTTTCGATAAAACCGCAAATTTCTAAAAATTGCGACGTGAAGAACAATTTGATAAACGGAAATATGTAGAAAGGAGGAAGTGCCAATGGGAGCCAAAAAATGAATGGAACTCGGTTCTCGCAATTTAAAATCAAAATTTCTCTTTAATAAGAAAACAAACTTTTCGACCCTTCTTCGGGTCTTCCTCAGTGAAAACTCGTTTAGACCGAATAAAGCATGAGGCAATATCTTATTAGAGAGAAATTTTGATTTTAAATTGTGAGAACCGAGCACTTCCTCGACTTTCTACACATTGGCTTTTTGGGAGCCTTCACAATACTTTGGAATTGATAAACGGAATCATATTCAGCACGAAAGAGATTACGGGGAACCGATTAGTCTCGTTCTCGCGCACTTCGTTCGTTAAACATTGTTAATAAACGATTGCGTCCTTCTCGCGCAATGCGAGTTTTCCGAAAACTTTATCCTGTTTATGCAAATCGTTTCGTAGAACGAGTCCGATAATGGAACGTGAATTCCATCGAACCTCACGTCGTAATCAGCGAATAACTCCGCCGAAAATTGCGCGCAATTTCGCGACGAGGGACGGCGATAATCAGGCCGCGTGAGATTAAGAGGAGCTTACTTCTTCGCGTAGGCGATAGACTTTGCTAAGCCGTTGCCGGAGCCGCACGGTATCACCCCGAGCGGCAATTCGCGAAGCGCTCTCTCCCAATCGGGCCTCTGGAAAAGCCCGTTCACCACCTCGAAGACGATCCCGTCACCGCCGACCATCAGCAAGCCGCTCCACTGATAGATGTCCCTCATGCGCACGAACTCGCGAGCGTAATTAGGACACTTGGTAATATGAATCTCGTACGATCTCTCCGCCTCCGACAGGATTGGATGGATCCTCTTCTGGAAGGTCTCCCTGCCCCTGCCGGGCCCCGATTTCGGGTTCAACAGCACCAGGAGCTTCCGACTCTCGCCCGGGCACGCTGCAACATTAGCGAAAGATTTTTTTTTTCAAGTTTACTCTTTTGTGCGAACGCCTTTCAACCGTTAGCGAGGGGTAAACCGCTGAACAAAATCATGTACAATCGATTCCTATACTAATGCCCAGCGGGCATTGCTTTACTTTATTATCTTATTTTATCTGTGCCCCAGCAAAGCCCAAACTAATGTCTAGTAATGTCCAGTAATACCGCAAATCTGTACACCACAATGCTCCCAGCGGTTTACCCTTCGATCCGTAGATTATATTAGCGTGATATTTCTGAAAATTCCTTGAAATTCATGCTTAATCTTGATTAAACGCCGAATTCAACACTACATGGAGAGAATTTTCTCTTGTGATGTATTCTGAAAATTATGTTATCGTGGGACGACATGGCATTTCGAAGAACTTTATGAAAGTTTTTTGAAATTCTACCATACATTTTGCTAGTAAATTTTAAAAAAATCTCAAAGTTCTGATCATCCTGATCGGACAGTCATACTCGGTTCCAAAGAAACACCTCTAGACAACTCGTCTTATCGCGCTAAATCGCTGTTCGTTATGTAGCGGGCGCGAGAGCAGCTCTTTATCACCTCGAGAGAACGCGCTCCTTTTCACGAAAAAAAAAAAAGCGAGAACCGACCGATCCAGGCTTGAAGAGGTCCTCGATACATGGAAACCGCTGCATCCCGCGAGCACTCAAGTCGGTAAATTGTCAACGTCCCGCTGCTTAATTTTTTTATTTTCGATATATTCGCAATCGCGTTGCGAAAGAGTAGAATCAGATTGATGCCCGCGACACTTTTTTGCCGAGGCTGATATATTCGCTTCACGAGCATATTTTGACAGCTGACTTGACAACGAGTAAATAACAGTTTAATCAGGATTGTATAATAGATAGTCTTTTCATCTTCCATGTGCGACCATGGCGCACAAATAAAAACATTTATCTCTCGTCCGGCGAGACGCGAAGAAACGACACGTCTGAAAGAAAGATCGATCTCGGTGGGACATAATTTAGTTTTTTTACAGCATTCGTGTTAAGCGTGTCAACACCGTGTAAAATTTGTCGCGCATAATCGGCGCATATGTTTAACAATGCAGACAATGTAAAGCTGTAAAGACAACGTCGCGTCTAGCGTGACTGTCGATTCATTATTCGAATTCATCAATAATCCGACAGAAAGCATATAAATTGTGCAAAATGAAAGAGTCTGCAACTATAATCGCTGAAGCAACAGATGAGAGAGGCTTTATTTGTCTTGTGCGTATTCCTTGACAAAGAATATAAAAGAAAACCCCTCCACCCAACTCTGTTTCGCAATTGCAATTTGCAATCGTCGGAGATCGATCACGCGCACGTGTCGCCGATCTTTATGTTCAGTCGCTCGTATCCTCGGCTTTGTATCGTTGATATGCAGAGCAGCGTTAGAAAAAAAAATTTCACTGCTCTTTGGGAATAGCTGACTCTGCCTTTAGATTTATCGTTTATTTACTTGCGATGGAAGATAAATGCAATCTAACGTTAAGTAACTGAAACGTTCAGTGCCATGGTATTGTTCAACGTCAGCAATAATAAGATAAATGATATACGCCCGATATTTTTTCAGCGCTATCGGGAAGCCGTGCACGTACGACGCGCAGATCGTCACGTTGGCGACAGAAATGTTATAACGAATTCGGTTGCTTGCACTAGTGCGCACTGAGTGCACACTACGGCCTGTTTACGGTCAATTTTTATATTTAACTTTGTCTCAAATACACGTTGAAAGAGCATTTAGTACGGATGCTATACAAATCGGTTTACTGGTTGAAAAATATTCGAAGAGATATTTACAGGACCGTTTACAACGAAAGTAAGCAGTAAGAAGTAAGAAAAGTATAACCCGAGGGGTAAACCGCTGACCAAAATCATGTACACCAATGCCCACTAATGCCCAGTGGACATTACTTTATCTTATTATCTTGTTTTATTTTATCTGTGCCCCAGCAATGCCTAATGCCCAAACTAATGCCCAGTAATGCCGCAAATCTGTACACCACAATGCCCTCGGCGGTTTACCCCTCGCCAGAACCTTTACCTTTCAGAGTAAAGGCTGAAGTACAGGCATGATTTTTTTTAAATATTTGTAGCACTGGTCGAACTGCGCTTTAATTCGCCGCGAGTAAGCGTTTCCAGAGCTGAAATGGGAGTGAGAAATGAAAATGATTCACTTCTTTACTCCTACTCTTACTTCTTACGCCAGGCTTACTTCATCTATTGTAGACGATCCTTAAGACGACCCTGAAATATAAAAATTGACTGTAAACAAGCCTTCGTGTGCACTATGTGCGCACTAGTATGCAAGCAATCGCATATGCTATTAGCAAACGTCGAGAGATAACTTTGCGCGAGAATCATTACGTTTAAAAGCGTCTTCTATTTTAACAGACTCGCGTAATTCTTCTTTCAATAATTTCATGAATGTCTATTGAAGTCATATAATAGCTGTCCCCGTGGCGATTTATTGATTTTTATCGATAAGATTTATCAATAAGATTAAACGACATTCCGAATCAATTGAACGGAGTGATTCCGTGTAACCGATCGTTGTCTCCGATTAAAAAAAAAATTTCCAGTGGACTGTATGCTATACTGGAATATCTACTGTAAATGGCAGAAAATGGACAGAGCCGGACGGGCAAGCGCTTCCATCCGCGTCTCTATCTAATAATTCTGATTAGTCAGCGGTTTTCTATCTCACTTGCATAAGGCAAGATGAAAAATCGTCGACCAATCAGAATTACTCGGAAGAGATACAGATGGAACCGATATCTCACTCTCTGTCCATTCTCTTAACAAGGTAAGATAACTGTCCCGTACACGGGTCGTGTCCCAATGTTGAGTGACGTTTAAAAAAGTACACATTGCAACGAAAACACAAAAATACTTTTCATGTTCTTCAGCTTATTTAAAATTATTATATCCTAAGGTTTCCCTCAGAAACGTTGTGGACATTTAACAAAAATATATTATACGTTTCTTTACATGAATGTTATACCTACGTATTTTACTTAATTAAATTATGAAATCTACATTTCTTCATAAAATCTCACATTAAATACGTCATTTTTCTCGTGTGACGAAAACTCGAGTACCGTTGCAGGAACGCGACTTAATTTGCTCATCTACAATTAGGACACGTGCGTAAAGATTTATAATAACTTTTTTATTTACAATCAATTAATTTAAAGTCGGTCTTAAAACTGCTTTCATTGTTTCCATTGGTATTTTTAGTTTCTTTTAATATTCAGTCGACGAATTATTATAAATAAATGAATGTTGGTTTAACCTTAAATATGTCCCATGCATAATTAGGATAGTTAACTTGGTAGATATTTACTCCAGTGTAGTAGAGTTTACTGGGAATTTCAGAAAAGCGGCGGGCGATGAAAAGTCCCGCTGTTAACGTTCCCGGCGTCTCTCGTTCGGGCGCATAAATGGTCACGCTAGTTGCATAGAGCTATGCTGCATAAAAGGAATAAAAAAAAAGGATACAGCAAGCGTTGGTCTAGTGAGTCCATCTATTTTTAAATCGAGGCTGCTTAAGGCGCCCCGCGAAATTCAAGGAGATAAGAAACTCGCGAAGAACTTATCGCTTTCTGGAAGACGTTACACGCGAACGTTCGGCTTTCTCGCCAAAAACAAAAAATAATAAAACTTTCCCGGCAATAGATCGCTCCCCGAGAGGTGATTATTGTTTTCCATCCATATCTGTGTTTACCATAAATAATGCGTTACGTAACAGCGAGCGAGACTCAACCCGCGTCGCGGTAATTCGTTTCGAGCACGCGATCCCTCGCGGCATTTCCGCATTCGGAGCAAAACGAAGTGAAATGAGCGCGCGGCGCGAACGGAATAGTTGAAACACGCCTGTACTTTCGATACGCGGCCGACGTCATTGCGTAATTAAGACTATGACACTATTGCAGGCGTGGATTACGCATGTAGCGTGCAGGCAGGATATAAAAAAAGAGCTTGTTAACTCGTAACGGAACCTTTGCGGCCTTCACGGGGTTATCGGAAACGCGATAGAGCGGATTATCACCGCTAGACTCAAAACGTGACACACCACGTGTTGCGTCCTTATACAGAGATTTATCTGCCAGTATGCCACGAGTATCGCGGAGAAAATAATCCGGCCGTCTGACCCGCGGCATCTAAAATGTAAGAAATTCAGTTACGCTTCGCGGCGTTATCTTCGAAATTTATTTTCACGATATTGATTACGACACATGAATGACGTGCGTTAAGTGGCGACCGACGCCTCCGAGATAAATATCTACTTGATCGACGATTTTCGCAATACTGCACAGACTTCTATACAGGGTGTCCCAGGAGGAAAGGTCAATATTCTGGAAGGTGATAGTATCGGTTATTTTAAGCAAAAAATGTTCGTATGAATATACGTTCCATTCCCCACTGTTTCCGAGATAGAGCTACATGAATGTCTTGTGCGTTTACTTTTTTTCCTGTACACTTCACCCTCCGTCCAATCTCATAAACGTCCGCGGGAATTTACTCTTATACGTCTGTTGACTGTTGTGCCGATAACATTGTAGAAATGTTCAAAATGCCTCGCATATTCGCAAATGTCGAATATGCAGATATGCTGTACGTTTACGGTTTCTGTGATGGTAGCGCTACTGCTGCTGTTGAAGAATACCGTCGACGCTCTCCTACACGCAGAATTCCGAATTGTAAAGTGTTTTCCAAGGTTTTCAATACATTGCGTGAAAGTGGAACGCGAGGGGGAAACCGCTGAGGGCACTGTGGTGTACAGATTTGCGGCATTACTGGGCATTAATAGGCATTTTTTGGGCATTAGTTTGGGCATCAGGCCTTGCTGGGGCATTATAAAGATAAAATAAGATAATAAGATTAAGTAATGCCCACTGGGTATTAGTGGGCATTGGTGTACAAGATTTTGGTCAGCGGTTTCCCCCTCGGTGGAACGCATC